CATGTAGTGAGCTCAGAGCTGTACACGGAGCGAGGGTCTGTACCGAGGCGTACAGGAACGATACCAGCAAGACTACATCAGCCAAGCCGCGGTTGAGCGGACGTCCGACAAACAGAGCAAGCCGGCCTGACACGTCCCGCACATGTCCCTGTTCACACAGACATCTCGCTAGGATAGAGACGTCTCTCCCTCTCTCTCTCTCTATTCATGAGGAGGGCGTTCACACTCCCAACAATCCGGCTCTTGTGGCGAGGACGATGGCTTCTAAGGAAGCCGTCGTCTGCGCCTTGTCTGTCGTGTGAATCGTGCGTGTGCGACTGCATTTTGTGAAATTCTTTTCATCTCACCTCCGACCTCCTCGGTCTCGTGAGCACAAGTCCATGCTGGCTAGCTTGTTCCTGGCACAGTTCGCGTTAGCGCCGCTGAGCTCGCCGCCACGCAGGGCTTTCATCGGGCAGGCTGCCGCAGTGGCGGTCGGCCTCCAGCCGTTTGCGGCACTGGCGGCGGCGGACTGCCTTCAGACCTGCCGCAAGAACTGCGGCCGAACTGCGGCCGGCTTGCGGCAGGTTTGAGAGCCCGCCAGTGTGTGGGACTAGTGTGTGGGAAACTTACCCTTACTTACCTTACTTAGGCTCAAGGGATTACTGCGAGAGCTCTTGCGTGGACTATTGCGCGCGCAAGACGACCGGAAAGATGGCCTCAGCGGGTCGGTCAGCACGGAGGGCTCCGAGTTCGGTTTCGCCAGCTCTTTCAAAAACCCGCTAGCGCCGCAGAAGCCAACGGTCTACGGCGATGACAAGCCACCAGGTCTACCGGACGTTTTCGGGGTGAACCAGGCGCTGCGGAAGGCGGTCACTGGCGGCGACTTGACCGGCGGCGTGCAAGGCCAAGGCGGTGCACGTGACTTCTCCGACGCGCCGCCGGGTGGACTGTTCGACAGTACGCGATTCAGGGCTAAGTAGGTTTTCGCGCGGAACATGAACACGTCCGGTTTTGGGAGTCGGGGACTTGTGTGTGTGGTGGAGTTAAGTGGAACTCTGCTCCTTACACACGGTGTGTGTGAAGTCCTGAAGACCACAGCGCGCAGCGCCATGGAGGAGGTATTCTCAATATCAAGGTCTGTGAATTATTCTTTCCTTCGGGACATCACACGCAAAGATCGCAATGGACACGCGTCTCACTTCGTCTTTCGAGGACTATAGCAGTGGCCTCGACGCTAGGGTCTCTAGCTCTAGCGGTCTAGGCCAACGACGTGTTGTCGCCGACGCAGTAGCGGCACCAGAAGGTCTTATTCGGGTCGAGGCGGCTCTTCAGCTCGTTCAGCTCACCGTACAGCTCCTCTCCCCAGAACGTCTCCTTCCACCTACCGCCGCCACAGGCCTGGGCCACCTCCTGCTGCTTCATGCCAAACGTGCCGGCGCCAGCGCCAAAGGACGCCTCCGCCTGATACGCGTTCGCTCCTAGCTTGCAGAAGGCAGAGTCGGCATCACGACTGTGCCCTCCGGCCGCCGAAAAGACGAGATGCAAAGCTGCGGTTCGCAGGCCGTCGGAGATGGAT